AGAGTATTTTTCGTAAATTGTTTTGACTGATATTCTAAAAGATACCGTTTCCTCAATGCTATATGTATTTTTATTCCAAAATGTTGGTCACTTAATTTTTTTAAAAGTATGTCTCTGAATTTAACCATTATATTATGCAGATTATATGCTGCTGTGGTATGTTTTTTTAGCAATAACAAAATTTCTTGTAAAGATGACAAAAAATTATGAGTAAAATACAAATATAATTCATTATAAGTGGGATTAGTCTCACTTGTAATATCGTTTTCGCAGAACAATTTTCAGAACACTGAGAAATACCGTTTCAATGGTTCACATGACGAGAGTACCCTATCAAGTGCTTTAAACAAATTTAGCCACCTTATATAGGAACGTGCTGAATAACATCTCCGTAGTCACTCTCAAAGAAATCAAGTCACTCTTTTAACTCATTCGTTTTATTTGCAGACTTGGAAAACTCTGCAAATACTTTCATAACTATATTTTCGACATCGACATTACTTTTAAAGCATACTTAGTTATAAAATATGTGGTCATTACAGTGAGCAGCTATTATGTCATTATTTTCTTCTGACTGTAATTTTTGAAAAACGGCATTATTAACTCTTCTTCATGTTTTGCCCAAGAACTAACATAAATATTCCTTAATCGATCTAGAATCTTTAAACGAGTCTTCATAAAAGACCAAAACTTTGTGGCAAATACCGTTTTCTGGTAAAAAATATACAATAGCAACTGGAAAGAAATTTCTATTTCCTTTGTTAGACGCGTCGGTAGAGACAGAAAACGGAACTTCATTTTTCAAATCCTCCTGCACAAGTTGCATTGAATACGGATATAAATCTTGTTTTACTAAAGCAGTACATTTAGTGCGTCCTCCCGTCATTTGCTTCACAATTTCTGAATCCGTAATTACTTGTTTCAGTACTTTTAAGGAGCAATCTTGAGCAACATATGAACTGTGGTGCTTGACTCTATGATAAACCTCGGTTAATTCAGCAACACTAACTTTTTCACTTTGCTGGCTAGGCACCTTCAGGGTAAAAAAAAATGCATAAGCTGAGACATGGCTGCTGCACTTTCAGACTCCTAATTCTTCTTTGATGCAGCGTGATGCGTTACCGCTTTCAAGCCATCATATAAGCTACAGTTAATGTATGTTTACATAATTTGCAGTAACCCTCTGTGTCATCTTCGTTACACTTTTTTAACCACGAAAAGCGCGATTCCCAGTCAACCAGGGTTGCCAGCCTGGCAACCCTGGTTGACTGGGAACTTGAAATGTCAGATTGTAAATCTTGAAAGCGCCAACACTTCGTTAAAAAGCGCCACCTGGCGCCAAATGTTCTCAGTGATTCAACCGTCATCTTAAAATTATATTAAATTTATAATTTGGAAAAAAAATAGAATTCATAGTTTAGAAAAACAAGAATTTTTTTTCATTTTATAAAATTCTGGGTACTACGGAAAAAAACCCCATTTATGCTGCAGTTTTAGAAAGAAAGAAATAACACTTAATAAAATTTTATTAAACATTTTTTAATATATAATTATTGCGGCTATTATAGCCGCAATCAGAAAGCGCCACTTCGGCGATTAATCGCCACACGTGGAAACCCTGCAGTCAACATTATGTGGCACACCCTTCGTATTTTCTTAGGATTCGTCACTTTACTGGTAGATGCGTCATCATTTTCCATTTCGATTAATAAAGTAGCTGCTCTTATTCGCAACTAATTATCGACTAAGAAGTGTTTATGTATCGATATCAATTGATCGGAATATTTTTTTGTAGCGCCACGGTGGCGCCGCCACCTATTATTTATAAACAAAATCTAAACCTTCTTCTTCTTCTTCAATCTGAACACAGACGCACAGTGTTCAGGGGTAATGGCCTTTAGCTTAATTAAAAGCCATTTGGCAAGCTCATTATGTTTTTGAAAATTTAATCAGTTCGATTTTGTCTTTCGTGTGTGGTGCATCGCACTTTCATCTCTGGGACGTTGCTCAATGAAAAGTTTGAAACATAGCTGACTTTGGCCCAGGAGGGACAAAATTGAATTCCGGGTATAGAAATATACCTGTTTTTTTTTGACAATATCGCAAGCTTTGACCTTCTAGCGAGGTATTTAGTGAATTTTTATTTTATTTTATTATTTTTAATGTGCTTTTAACAGGCACCAGGCCTAATTACAGAAGTACACAATGACAAACACAAATAAACAGCCATACCCCTGGGATTCGAACCCACGACCTCTCGGCTTGTAGTCCGCAGTGCTAACTACTACACCAACCCGGCCCCAAAATATCAAATTGAAAAAAGGTACTTTTTAAACGTTCCCGAACTCCCGCCATATTGCATGACTTCATAAACCTACACCAGTGTCAGAAATCAAGATGTCACCAAATAATAAACACCGATAAAGTTTAACATTGAAAACGCGAAAACAAAAATTGGTTGTAAATATTGTTTTCTGCCTTGTTGTACAAATACAACCTGGAAAACTCCTGGGAAAGTTGTCCCTTCAATTATCAAAACCAAAGTTTATGACCCTAGACTGAGAGCTCAGCCGCATTTTTTTGAGTTTATTATTATTTAACATACCTATTCCAACCATACACCTAGTAAACGACATTATATTTTACTTACATTAAAATGATCCTCGCAGCAATAAAATGTTGACTGCGGTGACGATGTTTTGATATCGCGCCGAGCTATTTTAATCCACTTTATCCTTATTTTCCCTTTTGGCACGGTGATAAACCTTTTCCCAGGAGTTTTCCAGGTTGTATTTGTACAACAAGGCACAAAACAATATTTACAACCAATTTTTGTTTTCGCGTTTTCCATGTTAAACATAAACTTTATCGGTGTTTATTATTTGTTGCATCTTGATTTCTGACACTGGTGTAGGTTTATGACGTCATGCAATATGGCGGGAGTTCGGGAACGTTTGAAAAGTACCTTTTTTTCAATTTGATATTTTGGGGCCGGGTTGAACTATTGAAATATAAAAAAATATTTTCGCAATGTGTTTTTATCTCCAGATTACATTAAAAAGGTTTTTAGGGATTTTCATTTTTGATGCAATTACTCTATTGTGGATGATCCAAGATTTGGAAAATTCACGTGTCTATGGGTGGATGGCTTCGTGAAGCGCATGGACATTAAAACAGGTTGCTGGTCAAAGTGGTTCATTGAAACCGAGACCATTAAGGCCTTAGGCCACCAAGGAAGAAGAAGAAATTTAATATGATCAAGGGTCTCAATTAAGAGAATCTGAGTAGAACTCATCCCTTGAATCATTTATTTTATATTATTATTATTGTTTATAGTTCATTTTAATATTATTTTATGTCTAATTTCTTTTACAATTTTCACTATATCACTTAAATTTTTTTTCCACACTTTTATTTTTTATATATATTCTTTTTATTTATTAATATGTCCATTTTCTTTCTTCATTTCTTTTCAATAAATTTAACATTGTCAAAAATCACTTATCATCACAAACAACATTATTCTTACACTTTTACAACCATCCATAGGTACAGTTTTTTTATTATCTCTGAGTTCCTGTTTGCTACCACCAATAAGTGGATAGATACCCGACTTTTTATCAACAAAGGTAAGTTAGTTCGAATCCTAGAGTAACTCTGTTTTAATTGTCCCTCGTAACAAAATCTAGAACGATTATTTTAAACCCGTATTTTTGATGCTGGTAACCCTTAATCCAAGAAATGGCAGGTGGTAACCCTAAACACGTCCGATGTGGCATTCGATTCCATTACAGGGTGAGTTTTTTAACTTGAAACTTTAAAATATCTCGCGTAATAAGCACTGTCGAAAAAACTATATAAACTAAATTTAATCATTCCGGGTGCTAAAATTGGTAGTGTGTTCTCCCTGTATATTAAATGTGACTGAGTTTGATAAATAAATTGACTCCAATTTTATTTTGTTCTCCTTCCCGCAACCCCCAAGGAAAAGAAAACCCACACCCTCCATCAGTGGCGGCTGGTGGATTTTGGGTATACCGATATCTCAATTATTAGATATGGGACCCACGCCAAATAAATATAGGTAATATAAATTTAATTGATGCAATTTATTATTTACCATAGTTTATCGACAAATTTCAAATTTTATTTAAAAAATCCAAATAATATAGATTTTAAATTTTTATTATTTCTTTTTTCAAAAGTATCATTGATTTAAGTTAATAAGGTAAAACCTTAAAAACCCACATATACAATAAAGACATGCATATATTTCGCACTACTGTATACAGTAGCAATAATATTAACTTTTGTATAAATTGTTTTTATTAATAAACCTATTTTAATTTAATACTTTTTCTTTGCTTTTTAAATAGGTATCTTTTCAATTGCTCAAGTACTTACATATCCAGAACCGTATTCACAACAAAAGGGGGTTCTAAATTAATTTCTTTAAACTAGACGATCACGTGTTTTGGCCAAAGGTAGTTTTTTGTGGTTTTAATATTCTTTTTAATTATTAACGTGTGCCCCCCTTGCCGCGTTCATTACAATACACACCATACATACACCTTGAGGTAGGCCGTCTACGACCTGTCAGCTTTAGCAGACAACACAAAACTGAAATCTAAACCTATTCTGCCCAAAAAAAGGCAAAAGGCAGTAAGTGACAACTGATGATTAGTCACTTACTGCTCTTTGCCTTTTTTGGGCAGTATTAATGAAGCCTGTTTTTTTCTCAAATTATTCGATTTTTTATGATAAACCGGACATTCTGTTGTCCGGTTCATCAAGACACATGTATTTGTGTTATGTTTTAAATATTAATTTTTTAAGTAAGTTTTAATTTTAAGTTTTTGTTGATTAATTATTATAAGTATCTGCATATGCAAATACTGTACAGCTCTGATATCATTATGAGTAGCTGTAGTTTATTTATTTAAAAAATAAAGCATAGTATACATATAATATTATATTATAACATAATAATGACATCTTACCTAGAGCAGCAATACATAAAAATGAACACACAAGTAGTTTTAACATTGTATAAATCAAATTCACAAATAAATGATCCTTTCCGCAATCCTTGTCAATCACCTTACGAACACACAACCTCACAGAAGTTCTTTGACAGAACAGAAGATATTACGTTGTTGACTTTCGGAATAGAAATTTGCAACACTGTTTGACGTTTGTGACATTTAGGAAAAATCCCTCGGTGCAAAGAAAATACAAATAACAATGTGGTTATTTTAATATCATTACATTGTCCATTAAGAAGGTACAAAATAATAAATTAATTCATAGATACATTAGATAGATTAGATAGATGAGTTTTGTTTGTTATAAAATTTTCAAAATTACTTTTCAAAATATGCAACCCAGATTACAATGGCATCACGCAAATTTATTAATGTTACTTACATTTTAGGGTAGGTAGCAACTCCTAACCCTTAGAATATAAAATGGTTTTATATTTAACAGTTAAATTTTAACTTAATCGGTCGTACCTAAAATTCTTTTTGACCAAATTCTTCTATGCACACTTCCCACTTCATTGAAGGTTCTAACATACCTTCTAGGAAATTTCTCAACGTCGCAATTTCTATTAGGATGTTCTGAAACCTAACCTAAATTTCAATTTTGACTGAAATTGATCGTGTTGTTTTTGATATTCTGTGGCTTTTTGTGATCACTTTTAAGTGAACTTAACCCAAGTACACTCTAACTAAAGATTTCAATGGTGCAAACTCTACCAGGAAGTATGATTTTGCATATGGATCCGTTTATATACTTACTGAATTTAGTAATTGAAAAGAGGATTTCTATGTGATCCGTTAAAATGGCTGTGTCTAGCTGGAGAACTAGACATCAAAACATCCGTACAGGAAGGCTCCGACCAGGTAAGACCATTATTTTACCACAATAAATCTGTTTTTTATGCCTAAAACTTTTCAGGTAGGAACAAACAGGATGAAGTGCTTGTGGACCTTTCTCAAGGTAAGTTGTTCCACAACTTTCCTAGTTTTAACTAAATTGTACTTATTTTAGAGCCCCTAGTTAACATTAAGGATATATTAAGGAACTTGTGTGATAAAGATACCCCACATGCTCGCTTAATTAACTATTTGAATGGATTTGTGAAAGTTACTTTACAAATTGAAGGAAAATTTGAAAATCATGGTTATATAATTGAAGAAATATTATTATGGTATATTGTATAATAATATACAGACTACATGTTATAAAGCATCTTTATTTTAGCTTGAAATTAACTTTATTAAACACATCAACTAAAGTAAGATCAGGTGGTTTACGATGTATAAGGCATGTGGTGAAAAATGAGGAAGATGTGAATATTTTAAACAAACTTTTAATTCCCTATTTAATAACCAGGTAAGATTTCATCGAACACAAATTATTTATTAATTACAAAAAAATTACCAATCAAATATTTATTATATCTACGTACTAATTTCTAGGAAGCAATTCAATTATTTATTGTTTAAATACTTTATTTACAAATGCTTCTTGGAACAATTGCACAACATCCAATTTGTAAACAATAATATTTTTTAGGTCATTAGATCTAATATACAAGCATGATGTAGAAAGAATAGAAGCAATGAAATTGATTAGAAAAATTTTAATACTCTCACCTTTAAATTTTGATTCTTCTATGGCCAGAAGCCTTGTTGCTCTAGCCAATGAGGGCAGTGAGAGTAAAGACAGGCTCTTGAGAATATGTCTGGCAACACTGTCAGAGTTAGGTAATACATGTATCTTTTATCCTAACAATAAAATAGACTTGATGAAATTAGATTATTTAAAATGTATTGTTTGAATAAACCAGTATTTAAAGTTACTTAATGCACTACTGCATTAAATTGAGAAAAAGTAAGGTTTGACAGATGTCAGATTGGGAAAAAGTGAGGTTAAACCCATCTGACAGATGTCAGATTGGTAAAGAGTGAGGTTAAAACCGCTTGACTACAGGGTGCTATGTAATTTTAGGATATCAATCAGTAAGCCATTTAAAACAACTTTTGCTAAATATTTTTTTTTTATTTTAAAAAGAAAAACGGTTTAAATATTAATTTTAATGCTATTTGACAACGCTGATGATTAAAATAACCTCATTTCTACTGTCAGTGGTAGATCTAACCTCAATTCTACTGAAAGTGACAGATACCTTACCAATTTGCCAGTTCATGCCTGGTTTGATTGTGTCCACTATAGACCTCCATTATTATTAGAAGGAGATATACCTAAACTCAATTTTACTGAGTAGCATATCTAAACTCAATTCTACAATTTGTTGTCATTTATTCAAGTAAATCGACTCGCGGTCGATTCAAATTTGTCGGATTTACATTTTATTTCAATATTCGTAAATATTGATTTAATTAAAAATCCAGAATAGACCAAAATAGATGTAACATTTTTGTTCCAAATTTATTGATATCCTAGAATTACCAAAGTGTATTTTATAACACCCTGTATACTATAAAGCGTAATATTTTTTGGCAAATATATAATAGTATATTATTATACCAAAGATAATACAGGCTATTACAATGCCCATAACCTTACTTTCTACCAATTTTAAATATTTTAGTCGCTCTCTCCCAATTTAAAACCCGATTGGTTCAAATCAAAGTGAATATTAAAATGAGCCAATCACGGATGCCTAGCAACGTGAATAATAATTTAATTTTACCCGTTGTTAAGCTGGACGGTTATTTTATTAATATAAAAGAAAAACCCCTAATAGGCAATAGGAGTAGATAAACAAATATTTTCTATTGTTTGAAAAACCTTTTTGTTGGTTTTAATAGACTAAATGCGTCTTTTAGGTTGCATTTTAATAAACTATTGTTTGTTTTTAAGGAGTTTTAAATTCAAAATTGTTTATATCATGTGGGGGCGTGGCAGCTATAACACGAAATCTTCTCGAATGTCAAACGCCGAAGATTGCTGAATCTCTTTGCGGGGTCCTGTTGATGATGCTCGATAGGCCTGAAACGAGGGAGTGTGCATCAGTCGATCTGCACACCCTTGCTGCACCGTTTTGCGATTTTCACTACAAACTTCGATTAAAAGAAAGTAAAAAATACGAAGTGTAAGAATTATCGAGATTTTTTTTTTACTTTAGTATCTTAATATTTTTTAATATTTTTAGTGATGAACGTGAATTAAGGTTGAATTGTAGTAGGATGGCTTTGCTTTCTGTACTGAGAAGTTGGTCAGGTATTTTACATTTTTGCAACCCCAGGGATCAGACAGGATTTAAAGCTGTTGTGGATGTATTGTATTTGGACCAATTGGAAGTCAGAGTAAGTTTTGTTACAAAACATAAACTGCGCATCAAAATTAACGCATAATTTTAAAAAGAACCATTTAACAAATTTTTATTGATTTTTCAAGTTTATAGGTAATATCGATTTTTAGTTCAAACTCATTGTCGTTATTATCAATAAAATTATAAAAGCATGTGCGCGTTTTTACACAAAAAAATTAAACATAAAAAAGTTGTTTTATTTCAATTTTAGTTCAGTTTGATTTAAATGCGTGTTTTCACAATATCATAGGTTATTTAAGTTTTATTTATTGTTTTCGGATAAAATGAATCGACAACAAATACAAAATCAAAATTTATCCGAAGCTGAGTGCATTAGAGTCGTTACTCTTTATGGAAAAGGCTACACTCAAGCTCAACGATTCAATTTGGACCAATCAACAATCTCCAGAGTTCTGAGATTACTGTATTGATACAATCTTTGCGTATCGTTAATTTAAATCGTTAATTTAAAAACAAATAATTTCACAAAATAGGATTTTTTTTATCCACCAGGCCTTCACAGCAGTACCTCATAACTGACATTTTATGAAAATGCGTTTTTAATGTTATGTAGAATAACTAGCTTCATCTATACAGTGCTTGCAAATCCAAGTCCGACCGCGTTGGGAAGGATGGTTGTTCAATACCCGCGTGAAAAGAATAAGGATAGAATGCCAAACAGAATTTGATTGGTCAGAGCATCAGGCGTGCGTATTGTAAGCGCCTTCTGTTTGGCGTTCTCTCCTTGTTATTTTCACGCGTCCTTCCCAAACCGGTCGGACTTGGATTTGCAAGCACTGTATAGATACATATAAGGCAAATGAAAAACCAAAAGTAATGAGACGATAAGTCGGGGATTGAAATTTCCGGTTTTTTTTTATTTTGCCCAACTTTCGGAAAAATATCTATATCATCGATATTAATTTTTTTGTATCGATACTGTATCGATACGCCCTCTGTATCGTTATACCTGTCTCAGAACGGTTTACTGAAACGGATAACAACACAAGAAGACCAGGTCAGGGTAGAGGAAGAGTTACAAACCATGACCAAGATCGTTTTCTGCGTATCCGAACATTAAGGCAACGGTTTGTGACAAGTACTAATTGAATTTGTGGAGCGCTGTAACTTTGGAATAAGCCAAGCAAAAATTAGAAGAATAGTCCGGTCAATCTAGACATTCGAAGTTACATAAATTTACAACAAGCTGAAAATCAGTAAAATTGTTCAGAATATAATTATAAATAAAATTTTAAAGTTCCCCATAATTCCCCTGTATGGAAAATTTTTTATTCAAGGTCAAAGGTCAAAAAAATTAGTTTTTCGCGATTTTCAGCAAAACGGTAGGTTTAATCATAAAAATACCCCAAACAAAAATTGTAGATAATAAAATTATCTATAAAAAATGTATCGATACTTTTTTTCCTACGAGCCACCGTTTCTGAGATATAACGATTCGAAAAGTTGTAAAAGTTATAATCGTCATAATATGCACACGTTTCCACGCCATCTATAAGGTAGTGTACTTAGCGCGTTTTTTAACGTGGTTTCCCCAGTAGGCCTATTCCACGGGTCAGTTAACTGAACAATTGTGATCCTGTTTAATTTGAAACTATTGCAAAATAACGGAAATTAGCAATGATTGGAAAAGATAAAAGCGATGTAAATTTAAAAAAAGTACTGAAGTTAATTCGTCTGATTCGTAACATTTAAATTCTTCTTCTTATTCTTGTTCTTGTTCTTCTTCTTCTTCATCTTCATCCTGGGTACAAGTAAATTGCGTCAGTAGCGATGTATCGCATGTCACCTCGTTGGAATTAAATGAATCCTCCACTGTTGGTGATTCAACATTAGAGCACGACCGGCCTTGAAAATTCGTACATACAAGAGAATAAAACAGTCCGACCTTTTTGCAACCACATTTAGCACTGCATCCCTTTTGCAGTTGCAAAAAATTGTGTTCATCAGTTTTTCCGGCGCAGGTGGGAGTAAAGTTTGAACTGGTTCTAATGGGTTGTTGACCAACTTCCAACCCCAGTATGTAGGGTCTAGCTCATAACCAAGCCACACTTGAACTTGGTAATATACCCGAACGAAACATGCATATCGATACTTATCAAAGCAGGTAGTTTTTTTTAGGAGCTCCGTATATAGAAAGAAGAAATTGAATGCCGTTGGTGATAACTTCTTGTCCCGAAGCACCTTCTCCTGGAGTTTGGCCGAAAAATCTCCGCTCGTTCGAAAGTTAAGCGAAGACAACGGAACGTGCCAAAATTGACGAAAAAATCGAAAAAAAGTGGACTTAAGCCTTTTCAACACCGGAAAAATTTGGTACGCAGATAGGTCTCGTGGGCAGAAAAAAGGATACAAATTAGAAAAAAAGGATATACAGACTAACAGACAACGGAAAAAATAAATATTGCAAACGGGCCGGATCCGCCGGAAACTTTTCGAACAGCAAAATTTTTTATTTTTTTCCAAAAAATTTTAAACGTTATTTAGGGCTAGAGAAATTTTAGAAATTGGCCGAACGAAATACACGAATCGACGGGTAAAAGACCAAAGTTTGACATACTAAAAGATGAGCTTCATCGAATGAAAACTAATCGGCCAGAAGCCCGTTTAATTTTTGTTGAGTATTTAAAAAAGTTAACCAATTAAAATCCCCGAAATCAAATCGATAAGGTGGCAAATGACAGGTGGCATATGACAGGGACAAATGACAGGTGACAGAAGACAGGTGACAGATGACAGGTGACAGATGATAGGTGACAGATGTCAAGGTGACTAATGACATTAGACAGATTACAATTGACAGATAACACATATAAGGTGACAGAAGACGAGAGGAATATAAAATTCATCCTCTGGAGCGTTCGCGGCGCGATTCCCACCCGCAGCGAGCACCAACTATAGCAGGTCACACAATTGAACATCTGTCATCTGTCACAGATGTTGTCTTGATAATATAAATATAATAAATTAATTTATACCCAGTCCCTTAAGGGTATAAATTTCACTTGATATTCTTATAGTTATAACTTATGTAGGTATATTTTATATTTTAAGTGTAAGTCAAAATGACAGATAGAAAAATATTTTAACATATATTACAACTCTAGAGATGTATATACGTGACGTAATCATGTATATTATAACGATTACAACTTTTACAACTTTTCGAATCGTTATATCTCAGAAACGGTGGCTCGTAGGAAAAAAAGTATCGATACATTTTTTATAGATAATTTTATGATCTACAATTTTTGTCTGGGGTATTTTTATGATTAAACCTACCGTTTTGCTGAAAATCGCGAAAAACTAATTTTTTTGACCTTTGACCTTGAATAAAATTTTTTCCATACAGGGGAATGATGGGGAACTTTAAAATTTTATTTATAATTATATTCTGAACAATTTTACTGATTTTCAGCCTGTTGTAAATTTATGTACCTTCACTGTTATTTTTTTGTCTAATTTGACCGGACTAGAAGCTGAAGACGATATCAGGCCAAGAAGGCCAGCCGTAGGTCCCTTGCTCACAAGGGAGCACCGGAGGCAAAGACTAAATTTTGCACGGGAACATATTGCGTAGATTAGCGAAGATTGGGCGCGTATATTATTCCCGGATGATTCCAGATTCTGCCGAGAGACAAAATGGGGTATACAGAAGGCCCGCAGAAAGATACGCACAGTGTACAATGAATTATGGAGGCGGCTCTGTAATGGTTTGGGTTGGCATAAATGCTAACGCTCGTACGGAGTTAGTACTAGTGGATAGAGGGTGCCTAACTGCATAGAGATTTCAGAAAAAAACATGTTCCATTTGCATCATTTGTTGGGAATAATGGAGGAGGTTCATTCCAAAACTCGGCTTATCCCTATTAGGTGATTTTGAGCAATGTCAAAAACCTAACGCATATAAGGCCTACAGAATACTTTAAACGAAATATTAAAATTTATATACCTTGATTAAAAAGGTATAGGTCCAAGTTGAAATAATTTAAAATTACATACTTATAAGCCAGTTCTGACATAATATAACCTATAGATAAGGCAAGTTTTGGAACGATAGTCAATTTGTAAATGAATATTAAATGGGTTAAGTTTTAGAATATTATGACCTTTTTAGGGTATAGGGGGCTACATGGGAAATGTACAGGCACCACTAACTCATTTTTATTAAAAAGTGGATAAGCCAAGTTTTGAAATGGACCTCCTCAATTTTATGTTTATGCAAGATCCCAATCCCATTGAGCACATCAAGGACCCGGACCGAAATGAAATATCGGTTCCGGTACGGTTTTGGTTCACCCTATTTTCGTTTTAATGGTTCCGATTCCGGTTTCGGTTTCGTGGAGTTATAACGGTTCGGTTCTTTTCGGTTTTAAGCGGTTCCAGTGAGGTTATTTGTTTTACGTAATTTTAATCTATAACCTAATATGTTATATAATGTTATTAGAATGAAAGCAAATAAAGGTTTCGGTTCCGGTCCAACAGATTTTATCAAAAGCGAAAACGGTTCCGGTTCGGGTTTCGGTTCGGAAAAAAAAAACCGGTTCCGTTCCGGTTTTCGGTTTTTTTCGGTTTCGGTCCGGGTCCCTGGAGCACATATGGGTAGACGACTGAGACAACTTCCAAACCCTCCAAAATTCGGTCAATAATGTTTAGCTTGAGAGATCGCTGTCAAATTGTAAGGAGGAAATACTCGATATTTATATTATTTTGTTTACTTTAAAAAATATTTAATTTTGTAGATTTTGGGAGAAATTATTTGTTAAAGTTTTTGAATAATTTTTTTGAATAAAATCAACGTTTTTATTATTATTTAATAATTGTTCATCACAAGAAAAAATACCGCCCAACAACTTTAAAATGATACAAAAGTAATAGTATTAAATTATGCGTTAATTTTGACGCGCAGTGTATTACATGAGTTAGCATAAATAAAGTTGAAATTTTGTCCGCTTAGAAAGCAGTATTAGATCTGCTGTATGAGCTGCTCGGGCTGCCGCAGCCGGAATGGAGCGACGAATTGTCGGTGGCGCTCGGCGCGGTCGATCCGTGCGAGCCGCAGGCCAGCTGGCGCCTGAACGAGGGTTTCGTGGCCGCCGAAGGCAAATCGGTGTTGCCGCATCTATCCAAAACCACGCCCAGTCTTACCGAGATGCATCTCAGCCTGCTGCTCTACTGTTTTCTGGAGAACGGGCTGCTCGGCGCACTGTCCGAAGTGATCGCTACCAGCGACACTTTCATCAGCGTGCGGGCCACCGTACTATTAGGAGAGCTTTTAAGATTGATACAAGTTTTATTACCCCCTGACTGTTGTAACGTATCGCCTTCACTGCCTTTGCTGTTAGACTATGCTGTGGGAAATGTTCCGCAAGCTATTGGAGCTGTAACCGCCTTACAGCAACTACATAAGTAAGTAAATTACCATTACCGGTTTTGATTTTTAAACGACAATATCCTACATAACACAATATGTTTTAAAAATGTTGTCAGGTCGTTTGGAAAATAATATTTATAAATGAAAGGTTAATAAAATGTTGTTCGAAGATTCAGGAAAAAATATTTCTATAAATATATATAAATATTACGTAAATATTTTTCAACATTTATTTCGCAATTTTATGTAAATATTATTTCCTAAATATTGTTTAGTTTTTTAAAAATATTTATAAACTTTTTGAAATATTCATTAAAAGTTTTCTGATGTAAGCGCCCTCTTGATGAAAGGTATCTGTTGTCTGAGGCTCGGCCGCAAATCAGCGTCAGTTCGGCCATTTTTACTTTGTGTGTGTTTCAAGTGCGACGCTAAGTTAAAATAATAAATTATCCAGATAATCTTTTCTGCTAGAGGTATGCATTATATTTATTTTTATTGTTTAGATTATTGCTATGTATGAATGGTAGTGTAATGAACCGCGGCGGTACCTTAAAATTTTATTGCCAATCTATTTTTTTATTTATTTATTAAACCCAAAAAAACATATATGTTTATAACAGGCATAAAATACAACAATATATATAGGCAATCAAGATTATTACTAGTATCACATACAATTTGAGTCTTAAATTAGTAATAGAATTATTATTATTAATATCACATTCATTAAATTTTAAGTCTTAACTTGTTAATATCACATACATTAAATTTTAAAGTCTTAAGTTACACAAATGAGTTTTCACAGCCTTTGAGAAGGTTTGTAGATTTGATAAAGCTTTTATTTCATTGGGAAGTACATTAAAGAGTTTAGTAGCATTATAAGTTAGGCGTTTTCTTCCAATGTTGGTAACATTTGGTAACAGATGGAAATGTTGATTTGTCCTTGTATTATATTTATGAATATCACAGTTTTGTTGTAGCCAAATATTAGTACTTACAATATCATGCCTGATTTTATAAATTAACTTTATGCTGTCCAACTTTACAAGTTCATTTATTTTTAACAACTTTATTTCATTATACAAATCCCTGGTGTTAGTTAGTGGTGGTTTACAGAAACTAACACCAGGGATTTGTATAATGAAATAAAGTTGACGATTATTATATCGGTAAATTAACAAAAAACAAACATAAACCTAATAAAATCGCTTAGAAAACAAAGAATATTACTGTTTTTTAATTTTTAAAAACAAAAAAGTAATATCCTCGAGTGGGATTGAACCGAAGACTTTGAATTAAATTCTTTTTAGCCTTCTTTCTGAAAAATACAAAAACCGAAACTGCGACAGAAATTGACATTTTACCGGAGTTAAAACAATGGCTGGTTCAAGCTAAATTTAGAAAAAGTAAAAAAAACCTTAAAAAGAAAAACCAAGAATGTAGAAAGAAAAGTATTCTTTTCTTTCTGTAACTTTTTCCAAAGAATTTTTGTTTTACCTATTTCACTTTTATTTATATCAATTATTTTTAAAATAAACTATTTTTTTGTAATATTTTTTATTAAGAGGGGTACAAAAGTTTCTTGTATTTCCTGAGGTGTAGGAGAGGATTCGCGGCGAGCGAAGTCGAAGAAAATGGGTAACAATGCGAACGAATGCGCTCCATCGGTTGTCGGTTTGTATTTCCAGCTTTATATGTGGGAAGCCCCTAGAAACGTTCGCTCCTGTTTCGAGCAAAGCTGCGAGCGTCTGCGATTGCTGGCAATGCGAACGAATGGAAACTTTCGTCAGATGTATGACCGGCTTAAAACAACGTTCGCAGACATTTGCAACTCGGATTTCCCTTTTGATCTTTTCTATTTTACCGACAGACGATGGAAAACGTTCGTTCGCTATGCTGGCCATTCGCACCAAAATTTATTCGTTGCGATGACCACAAATGACCATCCACACTTGACAAAGGAATGCAAACGAACGCGAATGAATGGCAACGTTTCTCAGATGTATTCCCGGCTTAATATGAGAATACCATACCACATCTACTTTTTGCACTCCAAACAAGAAAATTAAGTACCTACTCAAAAAGTACCACACGGCTTTTATAAATTTAAATGTAACATTGTATTTAAAACATTCAAAAATATTGTATAAAAATAAAAAATGGGACATCTATGGTTGTAAAAAATTTAAGAGATATTTAAATAATAATGACTAATATTTCTAAAATATTTAGGTTATTTAGCAAAAATATTCATTCAATATTTTAAATTTATTTTTGTGTTATGTGGGATTATTAAAAATTGTTATTTTTTTAGGTTAATGAAAAAAAGACCTGCATCATACAGTTTATATTTAGATTTTATATTAAAAAGTAGCACTAACAGTGCAGACTCGCTAAAACCCAACAGACCTCCATCAAGACAAAAGCTGACAAGCGGGCTAAAATCAAAAATCCACCAAGTAAGAAACCATTATATAGAAAAATTATTTATATGACAAACTTTTCAGTTACAGTATGTTCTGCGAGATAATGAAGACTCGGTAAAAGACACTGGTGTTTTACTAAGCACTGATCCATTCACATGGAACTGGGACCTAGTGGGTATACTGCTCAGAGGCGAAAATAACTTTAAATTCGACCTGCTAGACCCATCTCACAAGAACTTCATCAAAAGACTATCCGAGTTTTTCATGCCGTCGAAAAACAAATATTCCCACTTGGACTTGAGTTGCGTGCAGCAAAGCAATCAGTACACGCAGAGCGGAGTTCAACTGATTTATTTTTTAATGCAGATGGACGACATTGATTGCAAGAGTTTGTTGATGGACCTGTTTAAGGATATTTTAAATAACATTGAAGCTATAACTAAGGGAAGGACAGTCCACGATTGTTTGTTTAGTCCGCAGCATATGCAGAACACGCAATGCCAAAGTTACTTTCTGTTTATTGGGAGATTTGCTACAACACCACCAGGGGATGAGCTGCTGAGATCTATTGACATGTTTGACAAGTAAGTAAAGTTATATTGCTGCTATTTAGGTAACATATATCATGTTTAGACTTGAAAACCTGGCAACAACAACCATTCATGACTGCTACGTAAAACTAATAGTGTCTTCCTTGGACTATAGTTTACCGGGATCCTCCCGTAAAATTCTGGCTTTAACTTTGACATGTAATCAGGAAAACTCCCGACTTTACGCCACGCAATTTCTCTTGACGTTGCTACGCGCAGGCGTGCATCAGTTTTCTGTCTGGGGCATGGAAATGCTGGTAAACCAGCTGAAAGACAAGTCCAAGGCCGTCTATTTAGCGGCCATGAATGCTTTGCACGAAGCCTGCGAGTTGCCCGAGTGCTTGGATACGCTGATAAAATTAAATCCCAGCTTGGATATCGAAAACGAAAGGGATATGTTGCTGATGATTCGGTTCTTGTCGAATAAGATCGGTTTGGCGCAAATAACCAAGGACGAAAAAGTATTGCAGCTCATAAAGCATTGGGACAATGATTTCGTGTATAGATACGTTAAAATGACGGAGGGAGACATCGCTGATGCACTGACACTGCACCAAAGAGGCTTGGATGGAAAATACGACAAACGGACCAGCTCTATTAGAAGTATGAATCAAAAGGAGGTGTTCCTACCTCCGCACCTTTATGGCCAGTTGAATCAACAAAAAGAGGGGTTGCAGGTGCTTCTGGAACAAGGAAACTGTAAAAATATGATTAAGGTGAGTGTTATCTATTATGTAATAGATTAGCAGTCAATTATTTTGTCTTAGTTACATACACCTGTAAAATCTTTATTTATTGTGCGATTTTAACCGGATTTGTTTTAAAGTGTAGGGGTTGATAAACTATTTTTGAAGCAAAAACATATTTTTATAAAAATATGTCAGTTTTTAAGAGTAAATTTTTAGGAATTCATATTAGCAATTTAAAAAAATCAATGCACAGACCAGATTCACCACCCCTCAAAACGACCCTATACCAAATTTTATTGAAAATTTTTAAGTAGCAACAATTTTGTAGCCAAATTAAAATTGCACAATAATTACTAGGTATTTACAAAAATTTGTTCTGTCAAGTTATCCATAAAAACATGGTATAAATATGCTGAGGGGTTTACTGAAACAAAAGGTTTACAAATCAAGGCCACAAACTGCACAGGAACTACAGGCTAGGGTAATACAAGCTTGCGCAGCCATTACTCCAGAACAAGTACGAAAGGTAACTAATAACGTACCTAAAAGAATTAGTTATTAAGTGTATTGAAATAAATGGTGGATTGGTAGAGGTGACAAAAATCTAATTGTAAAGAATTTTTGAATTCTCTATTATTTGTTTTATTGTTGTTTTAAGTTTATATTGCGTTTTTTATTTTTTAAAACTTAGCATAAAAATATTTATACCATGTTAATATTAGTTTAATTTTATTTCAATGTTTTTTCATGGATAACTTGACAGAGTAGGTTTTTGTAAATAGTAATTATTGTGCATTTTTAATTTGGCTACAAAATAGTTCCTACTTAAATTTTTTTAATAAAATTTAGTATAGGGTCATTTTTGGGGGTGTTTTTTTAATCGCTAATATGAATATTTATACATATGGCTTAGGGCTTATCACTGACATAAATCATTAAAATAATTATAGGTTATAAAGAATACAGGAGCGCGTTCCAAAACTCTGGTATATACCTAGATATATGCAACTGTCAGCTGTTCGAAAACAGCAAGTATATGCCCAGAGTGCACTCTCGGTTGTCCAAGCTTTAGACTTGGTTAAGTTTTACCCTTTATGCGCATAGGGTACATCAAACAATAATTTGTATTTACCTTCAATGAAGCTTGGACAACCGAGAGTGCAATCTGGGCATATACTTGCTGTTTTCGAACATAGTTATAAATAAATTATATGAAGGTCCTTCATATAATTTATTTATAACTGTTTAAAATTCAATAAAACAAAAACAAAAAACATTAAAATAAAAGAATTTATTATAATAAATTATTTAAAAAATATCAATTCGAAAAAACAAAACAAAATCTATCACAAAAACTTGAATAATCCATATACATAAGTTATGTAACATAACTTAAGGGTTGAAATTCAATAATTTAATATTTATATGTATTCAGTCAAATAAAAAGCAAAACCAATTGATTTTAGAACACTACAACATAAAGTTTTTAGGTATATGCTCCGCGGCGTTCGAAAATAACAAGGAGGTTAGGTATAATGTAAAGATATATACATATATATATGATTATATAACTATCCTTATACCATATCCAAAGTACACTCTCATTTCGAACGCACTCCAGAGCATTGACGTCAGAGGTTAATTAAATAATAGTATACGAGAGATAATGCAGGCTATTATTCACAAGGATGAGGTTTTGCATCTCGAGTCGCCAGGCGAGAGACGTAAATCATTCGAGTAAATAATACGCATTATTTCGAGTGTAATACTATGCTTTTTCTACTCCAATTAAGTAATTTTCATTGATAACAAAAATTATTATAACCTCACTTTTTCCTGATTTTATAGATCATTATAGTCGCCCCTCGTGTATAATATATTATATATAAACAAATCTGACATCTGTTAACCTTACTTTTTCCCAATTGAAAACCCGATTGGTTTAAATAACAGTTAATATTGAAATCAGCCTATCACTGATATCTAACAACGTGAATAATGAGTTCATATTCCCGTTGTTAGGCCGGCAAATTATATCCAAATGTCAATAATATGCAATAGAAGTAAAAAAAACATTTTTTTCTTATTTATACATGTTATGTGACGCGTTACGAGAAAAGGGCCCTAAGCGTCCCAGCCATAATTATCTAAAGTAAGAAATAATTTTCCTTAAACATTTTGCATATATTTTTTTTTAATAAAAACGTATTTTTTTAAATATTAAGTGCCATTAGCAAACCTAAGATGTCAAACAAAGTTTTTTTCATTCGCAAATAATTTTTTCTTCTCAAAGATTAATATTTTTTCTATTACAAATTAAGGTTGTAAAATGTAATGTACATAACAGATTTAAAGATATTAATTTAAACAATCAAAAAGTCTTGCCCTGGTAATAATAATACATTTTGAACGTTGGGAGACACCTTGCCTTGGGGAATATTTATTTCACTCAATGGGAGACAAATGGTCACTTTAGTATATTTTTTGAAAATGAATATCTGCTTTTTTCCAAATTAATTTGGTTAGTAACAGAAAACATAAATCTTTAAGGAGAGAAAATCTATGGGCAAAGGAAAAAATTCAACATCTTGGCACTTAAAATTGAAAGTGGCAAAATAAATTGTTTTATTTTGAGTACATTTTTTATATGCTTAATTTGTTAGTAAATTTAATTGTCAACAAAAATTTTTCTTATCAATTATCGCATGAATATTTTAGTCCCAGGGATATTCGTGATTTTATTAAAAAAATGACAATTTGAAAATTGCGATTATCTCTGGAACTAGAATATTTATGCGATAATTGCCAAGGACTTTTGTGGGCAATTAAATGTTTTAACAAAGTATATAAAAAAACATTTACTCATAAAGTTAAAAGTAACAAAATAATAAAAGGTCTTCCTTTCAATTTTAAGTACCATTGGCGAGCCTAAGATGTTAAACGATACATTTCTTTCACCTCAAAGATGCCATTACCAATTTAATTTAAAAAAAAAGCAGATATTCGACCCACTATAATGTACAGTGTGTGTTTTTATTTACAAATTTCTAAACTTGATGTCAAACCAAGAAAACAAATAGGTACAAATCAATCATTTTAGATCATAATGGATGCAGATTGTTCGACCGAAGATCAAACCTTAAAGCTTAAGGCGGCAATTTGGTCCATGGGACATCTGGCAACGTCCAACGCGGGTTTAATCGACATTAATTCGAAGGGAGTTATAGACGCCATCATCGATTTGGCTCAAAGTTGCCCGGTGTATTCAATCAGAGCCACTGCATTTTTTTCCTTGGGTATTGTGGCTACCACCAAGATGGGGGCCGATCAGCTATTTCAGAAAGGCAAGTCAATTTGTTAAACTAAATGGAATATATATAAATTGCCAAAATTATATTTTCATTTCATGATACGGTATACTGTTTATTTAGGTTGGATATGCACAAGACATCATAGGCATGATTTTTGGCCAATAATCGAAGACGAAATTGAAAGTATAGTAAGGAGACATCATAATATATCAATGTCAGAAGAGGGGAGCATATCTATGGACAATCCATTTACATATGAGTTCGAGAGCATAGATGAAGATACGGGAGAGGATTCATTTTCGATAATAGAATCACCAGGTAATGTGTAATTAAATATGTGCCCATGAAAACAAAAAAAAAACAAGAAATGTATTACAGAGATAAGAAGAACAAGCAGCATGATGAAACAATCCACGCTACCTTCCGGGAGACGGCCGTATTACGGGCACCACAAACGGTCGCATTCCGAATCAAAAACTTTCGAAATGAATGGATTTTCGGAAGATCGTTTCAAGTTCCCGTACGACTCGATACGGCTTCGAAACCACTCGATTACGGAATCGACAACTTCCGGAGTCAGTTCGTGCGACTCCCTGCAAGGCATCAAAGCAACTACAAATATTACGTAAGAAAGAGTACCATGTTTTTTATTATTTGTTTTTAGGCAGTCCTAATTTTTTAATACTGAAACAAATAATCGTAAAATATGATATTAAACATTTTTTGCAAAAAGAAATGATTCTTAGTGTATTATAATTAACTTTCTTACAGTGAACATACTCAAAAACTAAGTCCTATACCAAGTTCCTCAAGTCTAAGCACATTGCAGCAGCAGGCCAATAGGCCACCGCCAAGAAGTCACAAAAACTCGGAAAGCTCTCACAGAATGTCGTCACAAAGTATGCAATATTTATAACTAATCTTAACATTTTAATCATTAATAATTTTTTAGGCGATACAAACTCTGACATTTCTTCATTTTCAAATTATATATCATCAAATAGATTAACATACCAAGATTTGGTAGGCTATACAACTCTAAGGCATCTAAGGAATTCTACTGAAGAATTTGATGGACAATCCAGAGATACACAGCCCATATCCAATTTTATCATGTAAGTCCTAGGACTAAATAAGGTTTACTATTAAAATGTTTTTTATTCTAGTCACAATAATCCCAGCCTATTGGAGGACTTCAAAATGATGGACATCAGTTTCAAATCGGTCTTTAGTGTTCAAAAATTCCCTCTAAACTCGTCGCATAGTAAACACGATGACAAAATCTACATGGGTATCTCCCTCCCTCAGGTTCTGGGAGTACTCTTCCCCGATCTTAAAGACGTCAACACCTTTTCTTTGGCTGGGTTCGAAGAAACCGCCGGCGGCGTTGAGGAGTTGAGCGTGCACTCATCATCAGACTCTCAAACCAGCAAGCATCAAAATAAATTGATGGTGCACACACTAGAGAAATGTCTGAGTTGTAGCCGGCTGCACGAAAATAAATTTGCTAGTTTAGCAGATAAACCAGGTTAGTGCTATGTATGTATGTTTTATTTATTTTTACGAGTATAAGAACTAAAGCAACCCCTCCAATAAATAAAATTAAATGAAACTATGTAACATGGCTAGAAGAGTCAACCTAAACGATCTACGTGATATGAAGCCCGTATCACTGAAATATGACAGCTACAATTCCCGAAAACCTTGTTTAAAAAACTTTAAAAGTTAAAGATTCGACGACAGAATATTCATGAGCTCGAAAAAATTTCCGGAAATAATTTAACCTCTTGTGGTATACTAGTGAAAATTTCCCAAAATTTAATATAAAATTATTAATAATAAAAATCTTTATTGGGGTTCCCAAAAGCCTTTTGACTGTGGTATTTCTGCCCAGTTTATACAATATTATTTTTCAATTACAGTGTTTGTTAATTATACAAAATTTTAGAGTTTATACCAAAAAATGTTTACCTATACAGTGTGTCCACGGATGGTCTTAACTATACTTGTAAAAATATTTATTTTCAAGTCATTCTTCATAATTTCTTTTGCTTATTATATAAATACGATTCACATTGAGAAACTTTTATTTTGTTGTACAGGATGCGCAAAAAAATACAATTGTAGATTTTGCAAAATTAAAATTTTTAAATACATTTTCTTGAATGTCTAATATGAAGAGCTTGTTAGGAGGAACCAAAAAGCCAAATTTTTTTTTTTCATGCAAGTTTTTACTAAGATATTTGTTATTAAAAATAAAATCGATTCAGGTCCTAACTTGATTGGACCTATTATTTTGTAGATTGACTGCTATCTCATTTTGTGATTATGAATCAAGGATGTTGCTTTCAACTGACAAGTCTACAATGTCTACAATTATTTGTTAAAATTTGAAAACTAATACCTAATTACCTTAATTTTGAATATCAAATATCTTGGTATCAAAAACTCATTTAAAAAAACTTCATTTGACTTTTAGATTTCCCCTTACCAGCTCTTTATATTAGCCCTTCAAAAAAAATATTTAACAATTTTTAATTTAAAAAATCTGTATTTTGCTCACCCTGTATAACAAAATAAAAGTTTCTCAATGCGAATCCGATTTATATAAAAAGCAAACGAAATTATAAAGAATTACTTTTTCTCAAAAAATTAAAGATAAATATTTTTACAAGTATAGTTAAGTCCATCCGTGGACACACTGTATGTCCGTATTATGTCAGAATGATATATAATTCTACATCATAACTTAGTCACTATAATGTAAAATTTTCGTAAAATATGGTTACCTTTACTGGGTAATTTAACTATTTTAATTTTCTATTACTATCTAAAACAAGGAGTCACTATAATGTAAAATTTGCGTAAAATATGGTTACCTTTACTAGGTAATTTAACTATTTTAACTTTCTATTACTATCTAAAACAAGGAATATGATCACTGTACTATAAGAGGTTATCGGCCCAGGATTACGAATAAATATTATAATATTATTTTTTGACTTAAGCAGGAACTTAAAAAATGTCAGGAATAATTCGTATCAAATTATTAGTCTGGGAAATGACAATAATAAACGTTTTAATACTGGGAAATAGCAGTACCAGGACTGGTAAGTATCATATAGCAACAATTCCTGGACAGTTTAGTCCAAATTACATAAAAATTCTAACCATTTACAAAAGTAAATAATTATTTTTTAAATATTCCTATGAAATTCTGACATTTAATACACAATCGCGTTTTTTTTTACACCGAAAATTTCATATACAATTTTAAACGTACTATTAATGATAAATAAAATTAAAATAACAGTATTTATTTTAGATTCTTTTGATGTTCTGTGTAACATTGAACGCCTGGCAAATCCAGTGTGGAATAAACACGTGAAACAGTATCTACTTCAATGTCGTCATAAAGACTTGGCAATTTTAAAGGATGTGTGCATGTACTCGGAAGTCTGCAAAATGATGTCGGAAAGTTCTTATCGAGTCTCCTCTAGAAGAATCCTTCACGAACTCTTTCTCGACTTAAACCTAAATTCAATTTACGAGGAATGCCAAATTAAGTTGCAAAACAAGGGCGAATTAAAGAGAAACAGTTTGCCACAAGGAGATTCTATAAATGGAAACAGTTCCTTGCTTCAAAACCCTCCAGTCACTTTAGCAATAGGATCAGCATCAGTCTCATCTATTATACACACTTCACCCACTTTGGATTCATTAAAATTCATTTACAAGGAAAACAAATTTCCCATCAGAGAGAACAAATGATTTCAAATCAATGCCTTCAATTTCTAGCATTGTGTATGCAGCAGACTGTATTTGTACAATTTTTGTTAGTATTTTCCATTTTAATTTAAAGTTTTATTTATAAATAAAAATGATATGTATACCAGTACAAAGTACATTTTTTTATTACCTTATCACCCAGGTTATTATTATTATTATTATTTTTTAATCTAATTTTGACATAATAATATAGGTAAGTAATTCAGGTCTACACTAGATTATTAAATATAAATATGTCATAATGTTTAAATAAAACTAAATTGAACGTTAAATAAAACTTTATTTAAGTGTTTGATTTCATAAAATAAGAAAATAAATAACAAACTGTTAAATAGAATATCTATTATAATAGTGAGTGAGATACACAAAATAGCAGTGAATCAATGAAATTCTACTCTCTAATAACAATAATACTTTTAAAATTTAATAATACCAATAAAATGTTAAATCCTTTAGGTCTAAACCAAAGGATTATTAAACAAATCGGGTTTGGTTTCATCACTCCAGACCCCTTCAAAACTTTTCCCCTCTCCTTTAGCTCTGACACTCAACCCCTGCATTTTAACGTCGAAGTCATCCAACTCTTCCAAATTGTCTACCTCATGTTCATCCTTTAAGCTAACAGCAGAGCTCGTGGTATGACTCATGGAGCCAAGACTTTGCAGCTCGCATTTATCCAATTCCATTGTAATATCAGGTAAGGAAACGAATTGGTTTTTAGTCGGCAATTCAGCGAAGATCGGTTCCAATTCTGCTCCCACTCCAGGTTCGCGGGGGCCTTTAAGTAATTCTGCCTCGCATTTCGATTGTTTTCTTTGTCGCTTCATGTGAATTTCATTCGAGATTTGCTCCAAACTCTTCAGAGTATCCGAGTAATAATTCTTAGTTTTGGTGATCTCTTTTTTAATGGCTTCTATGCGTTCTTTTTGAGTGTTTAATTGCTCCTGGCAAAGTATTTTTTCATCAAAATAAGGTCGCGATTTTATAATAGATTTTTGAAGCTTTTCTTCAAGGGTTTTTAATTTTTCATCGACTTCTTTGAAAGCCTGGGCTCTTTTTTGATGGTCTCTTCCACTTTCAGCTTTCTGATTTTCTGCCTCCATTACCTGTTAAAAAATATATATAGGTATATGCCGTACGAATCCGCTTAGTGTATTCTTGTAAAATTGCTAATATTTGGATAATCGGTATTTTTTAAACAGTGAAACCGTAAAATGTGCTTCTTAACGCAGACTTTGAGATGGGGATTTAACATAGAAAAGACGACCGGTATGAGACGGTATTGACGTCATAACAGCGCTGGGTCACGTCGGTGTCAGTGTGTGCGTATAGATGGGTATCACCAGTGTTGCCGGTCGTACCATTATAATGGTATTTATACCATTTCTTTGTACTTACTTCGTACCATCGTCAATTTATGTACCATTTTTTACGATTTTGTATCATTATATACCATTATTTTTAGACTAAATTGTTTTGTGGAATATAATGCTAATTTAGTAAATATGTGGCCACCATTACGGTGGAAAATGTAATTTGTCTTACCTACCTAAACAGTGTTTAGTAAACACACTGCGCCTTGTAGGCAGGGAAGAAAAATTACATTTTCCTGTAAAAGTTGTTCTGTGATTCCCTGAATTTCTGAATAATGTATGTTTAGCATTGTCACAGAACTTCTGTGGTTTGATAGTTTGAGAATAATAAACTCACAATCAAGAAAAATTTCTATACTATACTATAATACCTTTGAATGACAAGGTTATAAGTGCAGATGCCCTGCTAAGCGAAAATGTAGAGATGGGAAAATTCCCATTTGACAAAAATTCCCGGAAACTTTCCATCGAAAATTCCCGAAATTTTCCGAAAGTTTCAAAAATTTTTTATTGCGAAAATATTTTTTTTTATGCAAGGGATTTGCAAAAATATATAACACATTAACTTTTTGTCAAATTTTTGGTTGCATTAACGAGTCGTTAATAACGACATAGATTTTCTTACAGAACTTGCTTTGAGCATGGTCTTTTTTGTTTTTTTGCACTATTTTGTAATAATTCCAAACACTAGATTTTTCTCTTGGCATTGTGCTATGCCTATAAATAAACAACAAAAATGCAAGAATGATTTTAAATTTGTTTATTGTTTTTATTTTGTTTACCTTTTTTTAAAAAAGTTTTTTGTGTTGATGCTGAATAATCCGGCTTCATTGAGGTTATGTAACATAACTTACATTATTTATACTTCTTATTCTGCTTTAAATTAACACAAATTAAATTCTTATTCAAAGTTTCTTGGCCTTGTATCATGGCCTTAACGAAAATCAGCGGTTAAACAATTGACATTTAAATGAAAAAAAAAACAAGGAAAGTTTCCAAGGAATGTTTCCGGTAGCTTAAAAGAAACTTTCAAAATGAAAATAAATTCCCAATTGGAAACTTTCCAAAACGGAAAGTTTCCTTAAAATGGAAACTTTCCGATTCCCATCTCTACGAAAATGCTTTATCTGCAATATTTAATATTGTAGATAAGTCATTTTCGCTTAACAGGGTAGCTGCACTTATAACTTTGTTATTTCAAGGTACCGTATTGTATTTAAATGTAAAATTTGGACATTTAAAAACAAAATTTGAACCATTTAATAGAGAGCTTGGGTGTACTATTAAAGTTGTATTTCGAAATTATTTTTTAATAGGACCGATTTTGGTACCTTTGAAATGGCCGACATTTTCAAAATTTTCCTGAAACTTGGAAGTTTGGTTACCAAAAAATCGACCGCATATTTTTAATGGTAACTTTTTGGTTGCTGTCAATTTTTAAACTAAAATTAGGCTGTCTAAACGAATAAACCATCGTTCCAGTTAAAAAGTTTGGTTATAATCACCCACAGATGACTGCTTTTTGACAGCACTCCAAAATTAGTTCCTTTTCAGCAACCGCTAATCGACCAAAATCGTGGTATCGGTCATCAAAAAACAATTTCGGAACATAGCTAAAATACCATTAAATTAAAATCTTGGTATTACTTTTTGTTTTGCTTCACCTGGCAACACTGGGAATCACCAAACAGTGCATTTTTAACTCGCCATCTCGTACATACCGTCTAAAGTACAAATTACAGTTACCTGTAGATAGGACTAACTCGCACAGTAGAATAAATTGAAAAATGCTAAAATAAAATCAAAACGTTGTGGGAAAACTAATAAAAAAACGGCATAAAACCTGTGGGTAAAAGGCGTAAGGGGATAAGTCAAAACAATCAATTTTTTAGTAGTGCCTTAAACGTGTTCGCATTAATTTAGGAAATACATTTATGGTTAGCGGGTATATCCTTTTGCCAGCACATGTCATATGCTAGCAAAAGGGTATGCTCGCTAACCATAAATATATTTCCTGAATTAATGCGAACACGTTTAAGTCTCTACCGAAAAATTGCTTTTTTTGACTTATCCCCTTATGCCTTTTACCCACAGAAACAGTCTCTTCTTATTTTTTTTTAAGTTTGATTTATTTTTTAATTTACTCCAATTCTTCATTAGATCCAATTTGAGTTTTTTAAATGAGTAGTAAAAATGTAACAAAAATCAAGACTCTTTAGTGAAAATCATGACTTTTTGTCATTTTTAACCAAAATCCATGACTTCCATGCTAGACTAAATTGTTTTTGTGGAATATAATGCTAATTTAGTAAATATGTGGCCACATTACGGTGGAAAATGTAATTTGTCTTACACTCCGCCTTGTAGGTAAGCTAGAAAAATTACATTTTCCTGCGCCCTCTATTGCATGTAGGTGATATCAACCAATAAAAGTTGTTCTGTGATTCTCCGAATTTCTAAATAATGTATGTTTAGCATTGTCACAGAACTTCTGTGGTTTAACAGTTTGAGGATAAAAATCAAGAAAACTTCCTATACTAGACTATTGGGTTTAAATGTAAAATTTGGACAAAATGTGTACCATTTAATAGAGAACTTGGGTGTACCATTAAAGTTTGTATTTCAAAATTATTTTTGATTTGATTTGATTTTGGTACCTCTGAATTGTCAAAATTTTCCTGAAACTTGGTCGTTTGGTTACTAAAAAACCGACCTCACATTTTTAGTGTCTGTAAACAAATTTAGATAGAATAAACAATATAGATATAGAGTAAACAAATTTAGATAGAATAAATTTAAAAATGGTAAAACAAAATCAAAAAATTGTGAGAAAAATTAACACAGTAGTAGAAATATAAAAAATGGTGGGACATTTTGTCTAAATATCAAAATTAAAAGCACAAGAAGCAAGTAGCATTGGCCCATTTCATGTCACTGACACAAAGATTAGCAAAAAGGCTTCTCATAATGTGCACCATATGTTTGATCATTTCAGTCACATTTTTTATAACAAACTTTAAGTATATTCTCTGCTACAATTAAAAATCTAACAAAATTATTTCTTTATTTTGTTATAGGTTTAAAAATGTGTATTTGAAAAGTGTACAGTTTAGACCACAAACCTTCATTGTAGCATGATTAAGCATTTCTTGCCAAGCATTATCAAACTGCCATTCATGCTGATGTATCAAAAATCTTTGCTCTGCCAAAGCAACTGTTTCTTTTGCTGCTGCATGAACTCCTACAAAAAATCAACAAAATTATTTACATGACTTTGCATTGAAATTATTTGTTTACCATGTGCTCGTTGGTAGAGAACAGCCGCTTCCTGGCACTCCCTTTGCGATTTTTTATAGACCTCCAACATTTCGTAGTACGGACGAGATTTTTCGATACAGCTGCCTAGTTTTTTAGACAACAATTTTAGCCTCCTTGTAGACTCGTTAAGTAACATTCGGAATGTTGTATTTGCCTCCTAAAAAGATAACGTTTATTTTTTTTATCAGCATTGCTATACAACAGAAAAACCGTCGCAAATAGAAAAATGCAACAATTTACAAACTTTATATAATGCCCATTTAAAGTCTGCTTTTGTAATTTCGTATTTTCCCTTTTTTTATTTGTTATGGTTTTCTTCTGGATGAGCAATATGCAAATTTCAAATAAGCATTTAACCGAGCGCATTTAACACAGAGAAATGTTGGAAAAAATGTTTTTTTATTGTCAAATTAACTTAATACAATGTGGTACCTACTAAAAAATGTTGTATTATGTTAAATTACTATGTATGGTGGAATTATGCAGCACAAATTAACATGAACATTACATTAACCAATAGGAGGGTATTTATGCTTAATGTTAATGTGTTGCATAAATGCTTCCATTGTATAATACAATTTGTATTACATTCATTTTAACTTTTAAATGTTAATCTTAATGTTAATGTTAAGTTAAGTTAATGTTAATTAGTGCTACATAATTCCACCATTATAAAACCTTAATAATATGTTTTGTTCATCTATTTAATAGATGACCAAAACTAATGTGTGCACATATATAAGGAAAAAAAGTACACAAATGGCATTAATAAATCTCACTGGGACAGGCGGAAATTGTATATTCCATATACTACATATGCTTATAAGAAAGTCAGGTCCATTTATTGAGAAAGTCCAATAAGTACCTAATCCCTTATTGGACTTTTTTGTTAAACAGTTGTATGCATCTAAAAAACCTTTGTTGTGTGATAATAAAACAAATCATTTGAGTTCAAATATTTACATATAAATAAAACGCGTCTCTCCATTTAAATACAATTTCCCATGGGTTTTGCTTTTATAATTTAAATATAAACAAGCAAAGGTTAATATAATCTTTGAAATAAATAGTTTACCATAAAATCACACTTATTTATAAACAAATCAGCATTAAAGGCTGCAAATTACTCGCGCATTTCAATTGCAGTCTAAATATTTATACTTTTTCAATAACAATTATTAAGTACTTACATCACACTCAATTTCTAACTTGTTAATTTCATCTGTAGTCGAATTCAATTTCTCCAGCTCTATTTGTATCCTCGGGTCCAATTCAACATCTTCATCTGGTTCACTCATACTAATAATTAAGTTTTAATACCACTCTCCTAAATTAGAAACTCTATTGACATTTTACGCTGAATTGTTGTTTTGATTTAAAATATTAACGCACCATACATTATATCTGCACCTTATTTAGTCCATTTAATATATTTAATCCAGGCACTTGAAATTCACCAAATTATTCTTATAAAACCCTTTAATTTTAAGATTAAAAATATTCTGTGACATCACAACAAAGCTTCACTGTTTATGTAAAAATCACAGGCGCATAAACGTCAGCGCAAGACGTTGACGTATCGGATAAAACATTTGCAACGTTGCCGGCAATTTTACGAGTAAACTAAATTTTAAACAACTTGAAAAAAAGCTATTTTTATTTTTGTTTCCATTTTATTACGTATTTTATTAATTTACTTTGATAAGATTAAATTTTTATTATTATTAGGATTATATATGGCCCATATAATGTTTCATGTATATGGCAACATAACAAACGAAATCTAACCTAAAAATGTCATTTGTGCCATGTTCATGTCAATAAATTTTGAAAACTGATATGGAAACTGAAGAACAGACTGCCGAAGCACCAAAACAATTAAACGTTGAGGATTTAAGCATAGAAATATTGCCGGTAATCTACGAAATTATCAGAAGGTTAGTAAGGTTATGATCTAAGTTAAAAATATAATATTGACAGACTGCCAATATGTTGATTGCGTAAAAACTAAATTTTAGCGTAGAAAAGGATCATCACGATAACACCGCCAAAACACGAGAGTCACAAGAAAGCTCGCAAAAAGTTCTGGAACTTCAAAAAAGGCTGGAACAAGCTAAAACTGATGTAAGCTATATTTATTATTAACATTACTTTAATAATTACCACGTTTTTTGTAGATTCGCATGCTTCCTGGTATAGAATATAGCAAAGAACAACAATTAAACCATTTGGAAGCCTTAAAAACCCAACTTCAATTGAAACAAGACTTACTTCAGAAGTACCGTTCGATGTACCCATTTCCAACACAAAAGTCATAATAATTATTAAATAAAGCATGGTATTCCGTTTTATAATAAGAATATTAGCGAATAATGAGCAGCTAGTGCAAAGATTAAGCGAGTCTTACCCTATGAGAAAGGCTGCTCAATTGGTAGTAAGGGTTATTTTCTCGGGGAAGAATTTTGTAGAAGAAAACAGGTTGCATGAAAAGTTGTCACCAGAGCAGTTTCGTACTTTAATGAAAAGTGTTGCCAATAACTGGCAGCAACAAATTAAACAGGCACAGGAAGAAATTAAAAGAAAAATGAAGTAAGATGTCTTCAAGTTCAGTAATTTTTATTGGTTCTCCGGAACGAAATATAAAGACTAACGCCCGCCAAAATCTCAAAAATTTGTTTATAGTTAATCCCAATGATGTAGTTTTAAGAATTCTTGCTTCATTTGTTCCTCCTTTTACAAAAGGATATCAAAAGGTTTATGTAGATTTATTGGGCCCCTTTTTAGGATTTCTTCTACTTACAGCTTTTTTAAATTATGGATTTTCATATAAAATGTATCAAATTTATTATTCACCTACCGAAAGTATGTGTGCCTTTGCTTTTTTAATGCCTTTACTCTGTTTTATACTTACAAAATTAGGTAGATCTAGTATAACTCCTTTCGAAACGGTTTCTTTAATAGGATACTCATTTTATGGCCACATACTAACCCTTTTAGCTTCTTATATTTGTTTTCAAGAAAGAAGCAACTTTTTCTTTTTTATATGTCTCATATTTTTTGGCGGTCTTTCGACTTTAAGAATGGCCTTAGTTTTTCTTTATACCATACCAATACCTGCTGCCAGATTGCTAATTTGCACTATAATTTCTTTGTCAAATATTCTTTATTTAATTTTCTTACATTTTGCATACATGCATAGAACTTTTGCCTACAATGATGGTTTATGATATTATGATTTGGATTATTTTTAAAATATAAATTTACTGGATTCTTTTTGATAAATATTGAAATAAATTTATATCAATGGATTGGTAAAGTATGAACAATAAAAATATAACTGAAACTGTTGTTTTGATTAGTAAATAAAACACCAATTTTAATATACTATGTATTTCTATAAAAAAATTAAAATAAATCTTTAAAAAAGGTCAATTAATAAAATGTATCAAATAATGTATCTACTATGGATGAAATAATCGCAGAACACAAAATTAATCACAAAGTAAAAACAAAGGAAGATTTGTACTATCAAAATTATTTGTTGATGATAGTTAATAATTAACAAAATAGTGCTCCAGGGATAGAAATCTGTAAAATGGGTACATTACGTATAAATTACGTAAACAAATAATTAAGATAAATATTATCCCCTCTGACCCCAAATTCTCCAAACTTTTGTAGGAATTTTTGGACGACTTAAACCTTGGTGGTGTTGCGTGGCATGTTGCTCGTGATGTTAGCGACCTCTGCCAATTGCTTTTGCAAACCGGAATTCGCATTATTGTTGTTTGATCTGCCCCTTCCACCCCTCCGGCTACGCCCCTTTTTGGGGCCCATCTTCTGCGCAGCCGACTCGCGCTTATCTGTACTACCTTCAAAGGTGGTGCATTCCCCAGTTGCTGCGCCACTGATTTCAGGGAACTAAAATAAACAGAATCGTGAAAACATCCACGCAACTTTTTTTATAAGCTGGTTGGCCAAATAATAATAATAAGTTCCTAGAATTTTTCAAATTTCAAAATTTTGAAAATTTCCAGAATTTCTAAAATTTTCCAAATGTTTTTAATGTACCCTTTACTTTCTTAGTTATATAAAAAAAGAATAATTTTTAAGTCGAGAACCGTTTTTTGTTTGTTTTGCTTACCTCTTGCTGTAAATCCTGCCTATTTTCGGCAGCTGCTCCGCTTTTCTGCTGTTGCTGCTGCTGATGATTTCCAGATCCGTATCTCTGCTGTTTCTGCTGCTTGGCCCTGTTACCCTGGTGCGAAGGACTTGACTGCGTTATAATCCGCACCACGTTGCCCACCGCTTTCGTTCGACCCTCGCGGAACACCATTCGCTGACCGGGTGTCATGTATTCGGGATGCTTGATAAAGCGAAAATGGATGAGCGCCTTGTCGCCCGTACGCAGGCAGTCCTTTGACATCGACAAGATGCTAGCCGTTTGCCGGATGCTGCCGCAGTGAACTGAAATGTACGAATAAACTGGCTGAACACAAATACGTTTATTTATGATTTAGGGTGGCCAAGCAATAGCGAAGATTGTTATTAATTGAAATTTTATTGCTAGGGAGTGTTAAAAACTATATTTACACACCCATAGCTTGGTAGCGCGAACTGATGGTGGTAGGATGATGCAAGACCAGGATCTCGCCCTCGAACTCCCAGCACGCCTGAGGGTTCAGCGCCGGCGACACCATCACCATGCCCTTGCGGATGTGGCTGCGTTTAATCTTTTTCAATGCGAAACTGGCCGTTTGGCCGGCGCGCACCTCCCGCACCGCCATTCTCTTGCGATGAATGCTTTTGACAGCGATCGGCTGGAAGCTGCCCAAGGGGTCGGGCCCGAGCATCAGCGTGTCGTTCAGCCGGATCACGCCCTTAAGCGTTGTGCCCGAGACTACCGTGCCCACGCCCTATGATTTCAGAATTTTATTTTACATTTTATTTGACAACTTTCAAGCGGCTTTAACCTCACTTTTTACCAATCTGACAATTGTTACTATTATAGTTAATTAAGTAATTTAATACAAAGATATTATCTTTGATTTAATACACTATAGTCGCGGCCAAATCTGTATGGGTGCACGTCATCAACGGCATATGACGTCAGCGTTAAGGTCTATTCATACGTGCCCAGACACAATCTAACGCTCGTGTATTGTTGACTGTTTATAGCGGTGGGGGCTGTTATTAAGATGGAATTATAACGTCCTTGTATAATCTTCTGCACTAACTAATTAGGGGTTTGTTACAGGCAAATTTTTATTAAATGTGTTTAAAGAGAAAACAAACGGAGTTTATTACATTTTTATTACATATGCACATAACAAAAAAATACTAACTTATCAGAAACACAAAAATAATAAATTACCAGTCGTCCTTGTCATCAGAGCAAACCAGGTCAGAATTGAAGTCTGATTATTTCCCCAAATTTATTATTAAGGGCGCAATGTCTTCGAAATCTAATAACGGCTAGTTGCCAAAAGGCCTTATATCATTGCACAATCCAGGGATTGAATCTTATAAACATAATGTATAATATTATTTATAATAATTTGCAACAAACGATGCTTCCGGACGAAATGTCACAATTACAAAAATACGTCAAATATAAAATGACAGCGACCCATCAATAATATTGAACGGTGCGCGCCAGCCTTAAGCTATTACCAACTGGCATACACAAAAATTACTAAGTGAATGGTTTTATTTTGATAATTTCGTGAAAAAACGTTTTAAAACAAGGAAATTATTACAGTTCTTGGTAAACAATACGCAAATGAATGATTTCCTTTTAATAACACATCAGAATTACGCCTTAAAAAAGCAAATTTAACGGCAGTAACTTTACAATTCAAAGTTGGTGATGCTGACGTCATTATATCTCATTGATGACGTGCACCCATATAGATTTGGCCGTGACTATAGTCACCAGTGAGTCACTAGTAGTAACTAGTGTATAAAGGAGATTTGGTCAGTACATTTCGGAAAATGGGGTAAGGCTTAATGTAAATAGCTATAGGTACCAAGTTGCAAAAATAAAATTTATTTTGTCATTTTATTACATTTGATTTAAAAAACAGCCAATTTTCTAACCGTTTTTATGATTATTTTTTATTTTAATTTTGTATTGCACTATATGCATACACATTCATGGTCCATTAAGTTTCTGGGGAACGGAAAAAAAATTGATTTGAAATTTTAAAAGCGATTTTTATCCATTTAAGTTTATTTTTATAAAATATTTTGAACAAAACCAGAAGTGACATCAACTTTTTTATTTCAAATACCCCATATATTTTACATTTTTAAATTCTACATAAAGTTCTGAGTAAAATTACTATACCCAGTGGCGTAGCTACCGAAGGGCTAGACGGTGCTGTGCACCGGGGCCCCCAAGCTCAGGGGGGCCTCGAACCTTGACCACCAAACCTCCTATTGAACTAGCTAAAAATTCTCCCACCTTTGAAATATAAATAAAATAGGTTGCAACACGACTTTAAGGTATACCTCTGACCGACAGTAATATATTACTGTCGGTCAGAGTTACCCCTGATAGCACAGTTTATTCTAAGAATGTTTTTTAAACCTTCCAGTGGGAATATTCTTAGGATCATGCTATATTTCTTCTAGTCATGTTCTGAGAATGTTTTTTAAACCTTCCAGTGAGAATATTCTTAGGATCATGCTATATTTCTTCTAGTCATGTTCTAAGAATGTTTTTTAAATCTTCCAGTGAGAATATTCTTAGGATCATGCTATATTTCTTCTAAAGAACATGCTTAGAAGAAATAAAGCATAATCCTAAGAATATTCTCACTGGCCTATAGGCAGGTTCTTAGAAGGTGCAAAGTTTAGTGGTAAAAATTAATCCACTCTAAACATATGCTTAGAATGTTGAGAAAGTAATTTCTATAGAAAGTTCATTTAGGAATATTCCTGGAACATTCTGTTAAGCATATTCAGTTCAGTTAGGTACCTATATAATAGTAAAATATACCATAATCTACGTATAAAGGTACCTATACTTAGTATTAAATACTAAGTAAAAAACACAACCCAAAATATTTTTTTATGGTTATTTGTCAAAATAAAACAATATTCGATAACAAAAATACTTTTACTATAGGTATCTAAATTATCCGGCTTTTACATAAAATCTTCTATCCAACTCAAATACAATGAAGAACTATTTGGTTTTTTCTTTTATGAAGAATTATTTTATAAGGAAATATTTTGTTTTTTAATATTTTATTTTTTTAAAAATAAATATTTATTAATTTGTATATCGATTTTTTATATCTGAATTAACATTTTTATGTATAATAATCCTAACTATCTTCAACTTCAATCTAATCTGACTTATCCCACAAAATTTTACAATTTTACTTTTTATGAAATAATGTATGGCGCGCCGTTTGATTTTTTATTCAGGAATTATTTATTTCTCCATTGAATTTCACATATCTCTAAAATATTTAAATATATCAAATGAAAACTTTAATTTATTGCATTAAAAATATCATAGGACAAATTAATAAATCGAAATGTTAAAGTGATATTTTTAATTCGTTGAATAACAAATATCATAGGACAAAATTATAATTGGATTAACAATTCCATAAGAGAAATTTATAATTCGAATTAGAAATATCATGGCAGAAATTTTTAAATGAATTAAAAATATCATAGGAGAAATTTATAATTCGAATTAAATATCATGGCAGAAATTTTTGAATGAATTAAAAATATAATGGAAGATATATTTAATTCGATTTAAAAATATCGTAGGAGAAATGTATTATTCAAATTAAAAATATCATAGGAGAAATTTTTAAATGAATAAAAAATATCATAGCAGATATTTTTAATTCGAATTAAAAATATCATAGGAGAAATTTATAATTCAAATTAAAAATATCAAATGAGATATTTTTAATTCGAATTAAAAATATCATAGGAGATATTTGTAATTCTATTTAAAAATATCATGGGAGAAATTTTGAAATGAATTAAAATTATCATAGGAGAAATTAATAATTCGAATTAAAAATATCATAGAAGATATTTTTAATAAAATGACAAATAAAACATATTTTTAATTCAATGTCAAATTTTTAATTCTCATTGAACTGGGTTGTAAAAAACGCACTATATGCGGTTTAGTTCATCAGAACTACTTGCAACTGTTAAGCCTCATTTATAGATTGCCATTTTTCCTTTCTTCCGTAAAAGATAACCGTAGTGCTGTTTATAGATTTCCGTACCCTAATCTATTAACAGGGTTTCGTATTGTTCGTCTTTTACGGGAGGAAGGAAGGCTTTAAGGCAGATTTAAATATTGCCTTCCTTCCATAGTACCATGCTTCCTTCCTTTCTCCCGTAAAATATGAACAATACGAAAACTGTAGTACTATTTATAGATTCCGTACCTACCCTAATTTATAAACATCACTACGGTTTTTGTATTGTTCATCTTTTACGGAAGGAAGGGAGGAAGGAAGGAAGGAAGGTAATATTTAAATCAGGCTTTAAGCTTCCGATATCAATGAGCGCAGTCCTGTAATAAATTTATTAATACCTGTTTCTTGTTATTAGCATTATTATTAATTATACATATTTTTTTAACCGGTAAATCAAATATATTAACCATCTTGTGAAAATTAACTACATTTAATTTTTGACAGATGAATAATTTTTTTCCGGCGTTTTTACAAACTGGTAAAGATATTTGAACTACCGGTTACACAAATATTTATAATTAAAATAAATGCACTAATAATGCTAATGTGTGATAATAATTATAATAATAAGATAGGTTAATAGGTATCTATGTACCGATTAATAAATTTATAGCAGGAGTTTGTTCATATTTGAAGCTCAATAGTTGCCAGTTAGCGGCACCTGTAGTTCGAATGCACTAACACCGCATATAGCATATAGTTCAGTAAGAATGAAAATATGACATTACTTAAAAATATGCTTTATTTTATTAAGTAATCAAATAATTATTATCTTCTATGATATTTTTAATTCGAATTATACATTTCTCCTATGATATTTTTAATTCGAATTATTAATTTCTCCTATGGTAATTTTAATTCATTTCAAAATTTCTCCCATGATATTTTTAAATAGAATTACAAATATCTCCTATGATATTTTTAATTCGAATTAAAAATATCTCATTTGATATTTTTAATTTGAATTATAAATTTCTCCTATGATATTTTTAATTCGAATTAAAAATATCTGCTATGATATTTTTTATTCATTTCAAAATTTCTCCTATAATATTTTTAATTTGAATAATACATTTCTTCTATGATATTTTTAATTCGAATTAAATATATCTCCTATGATATTTTTAATTCGAATTATACATTTCTCTCATATTTTTTTAATTTGTTTAAGAATTTTTACCATAATATGTTTAATTTAAATTATAAATTTCTCCTATGATGTTGCTAATTCGAATTCTAAATTTGTAACATGATATTTTTTATTCAAGGAATTAAAAATATCACTTTAACATTAAAATTTACCGCATTTTTTAATTTGTTCTATGATGTTTTTAATGCAATGAATTAAATTTCTGACTTGGTATCTTTTATTTATAAATAAATATCACATTTGCAACTTTAATTTGGGATTTCTGAAATTGATTTAGAGATATCTGAAATTAATTTTACATATCTGAAATTAATTTCACATATCTGAAATTGATTTAGAGATATCTGAAATTAATTTTACATATCTGAAATTGATTTAGAGATATGTGAAATTCAATGGAGAAATAAATAATTCCTGAATAAAAAATCAAACGGCGCGCCATAATAACGTCATACAACTTATGGTTTAGAGGTCAAATTGTTTATTTAATATTTTTAAATAAATATATATTAATATGTCG